AAAGTGGCCGGTGAGTGTATATCTCATGTTTGTCTGATACTTGTCTCATGTTTGATCAAACTGAGGTGTCCCCTGTTGTCTCTCTCTGCCCCCCCCCCCCCCCCCCCATTTAGGGCGGTCACCCTAACAGGCTCCAGTGTGGTATTGAGGTCGGGGGTCGCCTCTTCCTTCTGGATCTGGAGAAGAATCAGTGAGTGTGATTTACAGAGAGTCACTGAATGCATCATAGATACAGAGTGTGATGTGTGTGTGTGTGTGTGTGTCTCTGCAGTGACTTGCTGCCCAAACCTCCAAACGTTTTCTATTACCTTCCCAACGGCACCGGGGTGTCTGTGAGAGCCAACGCTGTGGTGAGTCAGTGAACGCACCATCACTGTCTGTGTGTGTCTGTGTGTGAGTGTGTGTGTGTGAGTGTGTGTATCTGTTACTCATGTTTGTGTGTTTCTGCACAGACCCACTGTTATTACCATGGCAATGTCCGAGGGTTCCCCCAGTCCAGAGTCGCTCTGAGTACCTGCTCTGGACTCCGGTCAGTCACCTGTTACACACACACACACACAGACACACACAGACAGACACGGATGATAAACAGTCCCTAACAGACAAAGACCAATAAAGTCTCAACGGTTTTCAGCTGGTCCGGACTCCTGTAGACCTGGACCTCAAAGATCAGACCTCTTATTCTGAGTATCAGATCTGACCTGGACAGGGCTGGGCGATAAAATTATAACAATATATATCTAAATTTAGTTTCCCTCAGTATCGATATAAGACATGATCGATATGGTTTTCCAATGTTCGTCATTAAAAAGGAGAAAAGTTCGCTTTCCAGGATTTCTCTGGTTTAGAGCGGTGAGGTGTTTGGTGTGTGTCTCCCTGTTAAAAGACACAGATACAGATGTCCAGTTTAGTGGTTTTATTGGACTGTGTTTCTGCTGATAAAGATTTAAAACAACAATCAGTCCAGCTTGCACCGTACAGAACATGAATATGGAGTAACGTGAGATAGCATTAGTCATATTCAAAGTAAACAATAAACATAAACACAATATAACATCCAACAGTGAAACATCATCAAACTCACTTCTGACATTTACTGTATTTTTTGCACTAAAAGGTGCACTTAAAATCTGTTTGGCTTGTCGGAGCACTGCAGCTACCGTAGCGTCGCAGAGTTATTGAATGAGTTAAATAAAGTTTGACTTGTCTGATTGTTTTGTTTGGCTTAATGCGCTTTATGAATGAAAACAGACGTGAATAGATACGTTCATTGATGGTGCGCCTTATAGTGCAAAAAATATGATACACACAATAAACCAGGATGTGAAGTTGAACATTGGGTAAAAACAGGGAAGAGGAAATTAACAAACTATCCTCTGCTGCATGAGGAGAAAAACTAAACTTTTACAGGTGCATTAAAACCATAGACTGGAATGGACGCCGTCTGCCTCCTCTCTGGGTGAAGCCACTCTGAGAACAGCACCCTCTGGTGACGGGCTGCAGTATAGGTCATAAATCCCGCCTCCTTATGGAGCTATGGACAAACTTTATAAATTAATGACACAGAATATAAATGTTTCTCCCCCCTGGTTGTGATGTTGACATGTAGTTACTGTCAAACTGGTTTGTCCTCTTTTTTTCTGTACAGCTCCATTTTTAAAAGTTATTAAGGGGTTCGTGTTTTCTATGATTGACACTTGATACAGCCTATGGGTGTACCAAGATTGAGTAGCTCACCTGGGGAATACGCTGTTTGAGCTGATCGTCATCACAGCGACTCTCCCACCGAATGCGTACGATGTTGGTTTGAGGAAGTGTAGGAAAACACAGAATTACAGAGAACTTTTCAGCTTGAAATCTGTGTACTGGCGAAGGGTGGAACCAAGTTGCCCGTAGTACAGTCTATGGATCAATCGTGTTGGAATGCCTATGGTGTGTTCATGAGCGTAGGACAGATGAAAACTCACTGTAAAACTGAAAATAACTGAACAGTATTTACTTAAAAACACAGAAACAACACAGACATTCTGACACTTTCTCTACGGCAACGCCTTACGACAAAACGTCACAGAGACACAAAGACCTCACAGATGCAGTAGATTATTAAAAAATACAGTCGACCAATAAACACTGTTATCAACTGATTTGATAAAAATACACGGTGATAAATTTTTTACCATATCAACAAGCCCTAGACCTGGATCTTATCAAACCCCCAGACTAGTCTCTGAGGAGTTTTCTGGTCCTGAGGAACTTGGACTGAGATCAGGGACAGAGATCCAGACCTGCAGGTGTGAAGAGTCCGGTCCGGTCGGGTTGGTCCAGTTGATCCTGGTTTACAGGAGGACGGCTCTTTCAGAGAACTTCCCTGTTTTTCCCTCGAACCCTGAACTCTAATCTGTCCTGAAAACCCCCTGAGCCGGTTTACTCAGAGTCCACGATTTACACTGATTCAGGTCTTTGTGTTGGGGGGGGGGGGGGATCACAGGTGATCCAGATCAGCAGGTGACCTCTGACCCCTGAGAGCCGTAGTGTGGAGGCCTCAACAGGATTAAGGGGGGTGGGGGTCTGTAAACCAGCCAACGTGATCAGAACCTGGTCCAGGACCTGGTTTTCAGGTCAGGGAACAGAGCAGCTGAGGGTTCTTCTTGACCCGCGTCTGGTCTGACAGGCGCAGAACTCAGCCTTACAGCAGACACACACACAAACACACACACACACACACACACACACACACACACACACACACACACCCGGGGCTGAAACCGGTCCTGGGAAACCTGGACCCGGGTTCCTCAAGAGTCTTTGTGTGTTTCCTCCTTCAGTGGCGTCATCGCCATCAACGCCACCATGAGCTTCGAGCTGAAGCCTCAGGACCACTCCCCCCACCACCAGGGGGAGGAGCAGGGGCTGGGGTGGGGGGGTGGGGGAGACGGGAGTGGGGGGAGCGGAGGAGGAGGAGGAGGAGGACCAGATGAAGATGATGAAGTCCACCTGCTGTTCTCCACCAGTCCTCTGGAGGGCGACAGTCCTGGAGGCTGTGGGGTGTCTCATACACCTGTCCCCCCCATCCACAGCTCCACCCACACTCACAGGGTGAGTCAGCAAAGCATCCTGGGTAATGTAGTATCAGCTGACTGAGTGTATTCTTCCTGTTTCTGCCCGACAGCCGGACCGTCTGTCTTTAAGGTCTTAAATCAGGACCTAGGTCTCCTCGTCCTCCATAATCAAGAGTTATTTTTCTGTTTACTGACCTCTGACCTCTCTGTGTCTGTCTGCAGTGGAAGAGGGACATCCTGTCTGAGACCAAGTACATCGAACTGGTTCTGGTGGCAGACCACCAAGAGGTCAGTGAGTCCGCAGCCTCAGGCGAACCGAACCCTTTAGGATTCAGGGTCTGTAAAGTCCGGACCCCTGCTGGTTCTGCTGGTTCCCCTCAGAGTCTGACGGCATTAACCCTTTAAAGGACACACACACTGAAATACTTTAACCTTCGAGGGTTTTTGGAGGTCAGAACTAAACTTCAATTCTGCTGAAATGTCTGTTAAAAAACTGTAAAAATCAAAGTTAATGAAGTTTCCATCTGTGGTTTCTTAGCTGTAAGTGTTAAAAAAAGTGTGTTCATTAAAAAATACCAGAAAAACACATACACTACAGGCCATAAGCTTGGAAGCAAGGCCATTACAGGCCAAACAGTTGGGAGTAACTTCAAGTTTTTGTTCACAATAGTTGGGTCACGAAGTAAGATTCTGTGACCATCCTCTGGCAAGGATGTTTTGATGACTGATTGGACCTCTATGGACCCTTTAGAAAAGGAGCTACACATTTAGTCATTCTTTTGAACCTACAGTTAGAGGAGCTACACATTTGATCTGTAAAGACAGTGTGCATGCAGCATACATAGCTGCTTGAATATGGAAGAAAATAATATACCAACAGGGACAGACAGACAGTCATGTATTCTCCAGTGTGGTAGTCTGTGTAATGAAGCCACAGATACCATTAAGTCAAACCAGAGATGGGAAAACATAAAACACAGGGCACTGTTATGGAGTGGCCTTGACAAGTTTGGACATGTTTATACAACTGTCGATTGTGATAAAGGTCCGGTTGGAAAATGTGTGCATGAAGCATGTAGGTTGACCCTATTCAATTCTAATAAACTGGAACAAGCCAAAAAAAGACTGAGGCAACATTTAGGAAAGCAGCAGCACTAAACAAGCAGCATGTGCTAACCTGCCCTGACATGAAGGGACAGACAATCAAATTGCCTGAGTTAAGTACTGCTGCTGACATGAATCAAGCATACTGGATAGTTTGAGTGCAATATTCACTGGCCTTTATGTTGTTGTTAAGTTAAGTTTTCTCTGTACTTGATCACTGGTTGGTGGGGTACCCCTAGATGACAGTGAAACGATAATGTTAGGACTTGTAAGATCCTCAAAGAAAAAGATCGTCACTGCAGCCAAAGTAATCAACAAACAATGCTAAACCATTGGCCAAATTGTCAAATGATATAAGAAAAAGGCAAAAATTGTGAATATAGCCAATCTACAAGCTCACACGCCTCACAATACAAGGTGTTATGGGCTTGTAGATCTGCAAATTTCACAATATCTATATGTGGAACAGAGTCAAACAAATTGGGGGTTACCCAGTTCAAATATGATTGTCTTGGGGGGTCAAGTCCTGAAAAGGTTGAGAATCACAGTACATGATGGCAGCCATCTTGAATATCGCGGTCAAAACAAAGTTGTATGATTAAAACTATGTCAGATTTGTAATCCTCATGCTTGACTTATATGGAAAAGTGCCTTCATACATGATTCTAGGTCATCCAGATCAAAAGTTAAATTTAAGAGACGGCGCCGGCCGCCGTCTTGAATTTAGCTGTCTAGCAAAAGATGCTGGGATTTTTGTGAGGGACCTGGGGGCTAAATCTTTTCTAAAGGGTCCATAGAGGTCAAATCAATTGTCAAAATATCCTTGCCAGAGTATGATCACAGAATCTCACTTCGTGACCCGACTGCAATGCTTTTTTTGTAAATCCAGCATGAGTTGTATGTATTTTGGGATGTATTTACTTCATGATTAGATGTTGCTTTCATGGAAATGCACCATTTTACTCCATTTACCTTTAGATATACATTGATGTTAACAGAAACAGGAAAAAAAGGGCTTAGTTTTAGGGTCGAAACATTTGCAAGAGTCACAACTTCAGTGCAAAAGCAAAAAAAACACATCACAGTTGGATTATTCACTTTAACTTTTTGGCTTTTGAGAGCCTGCATACAAAAATACTAATAAATCTCAACTGCATCAAACCACTGCAGAAATGGCTAGAAAGAAGCAACTGAGTAAAGAAACAAAAGTACAGATTTGTACATTGAGGAAAGAAGGATACACAGAAAGAGAAATTGCAAAACGTCTAATGGTGTCTAACACAGGACTCCACTACATTCTGAAGAGACTAGAGGAACCTGGAAGTTATGATAATAGAAAAAGGCCTGGATGAAAGAGAGTTACTACAAAAGCAGAGGACAAACATATTATTGTCACCAGTAAGACAGATTGGTGAAAGACAACTCCACAAATAAGGGAGAAAATCAATATGAAAAGGTCGAAACCCATATCTCTGACAACTGTGAAATGACGTTTGAGAAAGGCTGGTCTGAAGGGTTGTGTATCTGCAAAAAAAACACTACTTAGTCCACAGAACAAGAAAAAGAGATATGAGTGGGCAAAAGCTCACAAAAATTGGACTTATAATGACTAGAAACAAGTTTGCACTGTTTGGTTCAAAATGCAGAGTCTATGTCCGAAGACAAACTGATGAACATCTGAAAGCACCATGTGTTACACCCACAATTAAGCAAGGAGGTGGTAGTTCCATGGTATGGGGATGTTTTGCAGGTGATGGAGTAGGAGATTTGTTTGAAGTAAAGGGTATCATCCTCCTGCATCCTCCAGCACCATGCTGTTCCATCTGGATTCAGACTTGTGGGTCACAAGTTTGTTTTGCAGTTAGACAATGACCCTAAGCAGTCTGCCAAGCTCTGTCAGGGTTACCTAGACAAAAAAGAAGAGGAAGGTGTTCTTCAAAAGATGGTTTGGCCCCCTCAGTCTCTAGACCTTTCTCCAATAGAGCTTGTGTGGGATGAATTGGATCGATCGGTCAGAAAAGCGTGTTCCGTGAATCAGCAGTATCTTTTTAATGAAGTTAACCCTTCCGGACCCTGTGGCCGAATTCGGCCATTTGACGAAAAAACAAGAGACTCATTTGGATATTTTTTTTTTTTTACTGCAGCAAATGTGATGATTTTTTTTTTCTAAGCTTAATTTAAAATTCTACTTGAAAACATGGATTGAACATTTTCACCAGGTCAATAATAAAGCCAGGACAAATTTTCACCCTCCAGAGTCCCTCGTGGCCGAAAAAAGCCACTTTTTTTGTCGGCTGTAAAATCATATTGGATTAATATTTTTTTCTGATTTTTTTTCATACATCTCTTATTTTACTTCTGCCCTGTTCAAAACTAGCAAATGTTTCATTGAAAATAAAATTTTAACCCTTTAAGGGCCAGTTTAAGGCATAAAGTCACTTAAAAAGCAAAAAAAAAATGGAAGGAAAAATTTAAGGAAAATGACCCATTTTTTTTATAAAACATGATCAGAAACTGGTAATCTCTTGCAGGGTATTTAAGTCTTGAATATGTCAAAGATTTACAATATGAAAGGATACAATAAGAAAGGATTTACAAATCATTGTATTCTGTTTTTATTTACATTTATCACAATTTCCAACTTCAATGGAATTAGATTATATACATGTCATCACTTAGTACAACTATTAGTACAACTATTCAACAGTAAAACATGTAAATTTCACGAACTTATCATCACTGAACTAAACTAACTTACTATCGTTAGTGTAGTACAGAAATCTAAAGTGAATTGAGCCACATGGGCATCTTTTTCAGCCTTCAGAGAAAAAAGGCCAGGTCTCTGCTGATTGGTCGAATACAACATTGATCTCTTCTGATTGGTTGAGTGAGGACCACATTCCTCATGACCTCACTGAGGTACTGAAGGGCGGCCATAGTTAAAGTGTGCAGAAATGACCACAAATAGGCCCAATCCCAAACCGCCCCCTACACACTCCCCCTCTGTTTGCGCATCCCCACGGAAGCTCTGCCATATTGAAGGTCGTCCCAAACCACAGAGTGTGGAGGGCAAGTGGACCGTTCAGCCCTTCAATAGTGAGTCTGCACCGGTGCAAACTTACGGCAGGATTTACAGGTAGTGCGCCGGCAAATATAGAGGAGGAGGACACAACATACAAATATAAGTTCCATTTGTGTCTGCCTTTTTCTCACTGACAAAAAAAAAATCACAAAGACGTGGTTTGGAAAGATCAAACGGAAGTAAAAAATCTTCCTCTGTGCTGAGGTTTGATTTGATTGGTCAGAAACTTGTCTAATAGTTTAAAGATGAGTGGAATCGCTAACAATCAGAAGTTTAATTTAGTTCCTGTCTCTGTGATGGTTCCTGGATTTATGATTTTACTGGGACAATGAAGAAACAAGGCAGACGGATCAGAACTGAACATGATGTCCATTTACTTTAGAAAGAAACCCTACCATGCACAGGACATGTCTTTGTGTTGCTATGGCGATAGATCTTTCTGTTTTCCGGTGGAGTGAGGAGGGCGTCCCATACCTGCCCGTCTTGGTTATACCCTCCAGTTTTAATGGAGGCGCACTCCACAGCTGAGAGTGGAACTTCATTAGGAGAGACACTCAGGAGTGAAGGGAGAGAGTGTAGGGGTCAGTTTGGGATTGGGCTTTACTCACTGACTCAAATCAGCTGATCCATCACAGACCCAGAGTCCTCAGGGGGGACCTGACCCAACAAACCAGAACCATGTGAAAAGCACTTTGTCTGTGATGCTGCTGTGACAAAAAAATTTCCCCCATGGGGGATCAATAAAGTAATATTCTATTCTATTCTATTCTTCTGTTCTATCAGAACCAGGTCCAGACTTTGGTCTCATTAAGTTCTCTCTTTGTTTCTCCCAGTTCCTGAACTACCAGAAGAACAACAACACCATCATCTACCGCATGCTGGACGTGGCCAACCAGGTGGACTGGGTGAGACCTCTTTCCCCTCTGACCTCTGTGAGACAGTGTGATATCTGCAGAAGAACTGACCCATTTTTCTCTCTCTCAGTTCTACCGTCCTTTGAACGTCCGCGTGGCGCTGACCGGTCTGGAGATCTGGAGCGACCGGGACAAGATCAGGGTGGAGAGGAGTCCTACCGACACACTCACCAACTTCCTGGAGTGGAGGAGCCGAGACCTGCTGCCCCGCCTTCGCCATGACAACGCCCAGCTGGTCATGTAGGCGGAGTCACACTGACAGAACACACCGGTCCTGACCCGGGTTCTGGTACTTAACAGGTGTCTCTGTGTCACAGGGGGGAATCTTTTGACGGGACCACCGTGGGGATGGCGTCTCAGTCCTCCATGTGCTCCAGGGACCGGTCCGGGGGGGTCAACGTGGTGAGTGATCCGGACTCTGAGAGACGGACCAGACAATTCCTGGTTCTGGTCCTTGATGAAGTGAAACTGCTGCTGTGTTCTTCTGTGATCCGATACGGAACTCTGAACAGAACTGGGGTGGTCTGAACACCTGTCTCTGTCTCAGGATCACCTGGTCAGCGTTCTGGGCGTGGCCTCCACCGTCGCTCATGAACTGGGTCACAACCTGGGGATGAGTCACGACACCGCAGAGCGCCGCTGCTCCTGTCAGAACGAACCCCGGCTCGGAGGATGTATCATGGAACCGTCAACCGGGTCAGAACCGTCAGGTTTAAGACTGGATCAGAGCTCACAGTACTTTGCTTCTGTTCATGTGGGTCCGGACCATGTCCAGCTTTCTCTCTGACATCTTCTACCTGTGATCTTTGACCCCAGGTTCATGCCAGGTCAGCAGTTCAGCAGCTGCAGCGCCGCAGATCTGTCCGTCAGTCTGCTCCATGGCGGTGGGATGTGTCTGTTCAACGTCCCACAACCAGAGAGGCTGCTGGGAGGACCACGTTGTGGAAACCTGTATGTGGAGAAAGGGGAGGAGTGTGACTGCGGCCTGATGGAGGTAAACACACACACACACACACCTGTACACAAACCTGTACACACACCTTTCTACTCACCTGAACACACACCTATACACACCTGTACACAAACCTGTACACACACCTGTACACAAACCTGTCTACACACCTGTACACAAACCTGTACATACACCTTTCTACTCACCTGAACACACACCTATACACACCTGTACACAAACCTGTACACACACCTGTACACACCTGTGCACACCTGTACACACTTCCTGCCGAGAGAGCTAACAGCTGTGCTAATCACGGCTGTTTACATACCACCCGATGCTAACGTTAGCTCAGCTCTCGCGCTCCTATCGAACACTATACAGAAGCTACAGAGGGCCCACCCGGACGGGGCACACATAATTGCAGGTGACTTTAATCAAGCAAACTTGAAGTCTGTTCTGCCTGGACTTTACCAACATATTAAATGCCCAACCAGGGAGGGAAATGCACTCTACCATGTTTACACTAACATTAAATATGCATACAGAGTTAGACAGCTTCCACACCTGGGCCAGTCGGACCACCTCTCTCTGCATCTTATCCCTGCTTACACTCCTCTGAGGAGGAGAACGGCTCCAGTGAAAAAGACCATCACCACCTGGCCTGAGGATGCACCCTTCCAGCTGCAGGACTGTTCCGAGCACACTGACTGGAGTATATTTGAACACCACGACCTGACAGTGTACACAGAGGCTGTGCTGAAGTACATCACGTTCTGCATGGAGACTGTCACTGTCGTCAGACATATCCGGTTTCCTAACCAGAAAGCCTGGATGACCAACGAGGTTAGGTCACTCCTCAGAAACCGGAACAGTGCTTTCAGGTCTGGTGACAAAGATCTGTACAGTGCGGCGAGAGCTGAACTGAAAAGGGGCATCAGGAAGGCCAAGATGAACCATAAGAGAGTACTGGAAGACCACCTCTCAAAAAACAACCCCAGACAGGTGTGGCAGGGAATACAGCAGCTGACCAACTTCAGGTGACAAACCAGCTCAGCCGTGGACTCGAGTACCGCACTAGCAGAGGAGCTGAACACTTTCTTTGCACACTTTGAGCCCACAGCCCTGAGCTACGATCCACTGACTTTGCAGGTACAGGAGGTGGCACGGATGCTCGCCAGAGTGAACCCCAGGAAGGCAGCTGGACCAGACGGTGTTCCTGGGAAAGTTCTCAGGGCCTGTGCAAACCAGCTATCCCATGTCTTCACCAACATCTTCAACCTCTCCCTGTCTCGAGCCACTGTCCCCGCCTGTCTGAAGTCCACCACCATCATCCTGGTACCCAAGAAACCCCACGTCACCAGTCTAAACGACTACCGTCCAGTGGCCCTTACACCGGTCATCACAAAGTGTCTGGAACGGCTGGTCCTCTCCCATATCACAGACTGTCCTCCCCCCTCCTTCGAACCCCACCAGTTTGCCTAAAAAGCAAACAGATCGACTGAGGACATCCCTCATCCTTCACTCCGTGCTGAGCCATCTGGAACACAGAGACACCTAGGCCAGGGTGCTCTTTGTGGGCTTCAACTCAGCCTTCAACACAATCATCCCCGACATCCTGGTCAGCAAACTCACTGTCCTGGGACTGCATCCTGTCACCTGTTCGTGGATCAAAGATTTCCTCACAAACAGACCACAGACAGTCAGACTCGGAACCCACCTGTCCTCCACCCGTACACTGAGCACGGGCTCCCCACAAGGCTGTGTGTTGAGCCCACTGCTCTTCACCCTGTACACCGCTGACTGCAAACCTCTTCACGCTTCCAACACCATAGCAAAGTTTGTGGACGACACCACGGTGGTGAGGCTGATCACAGGTGGAGACGAATCTGCCGATAGAGATGAAGATCTGTCTGTGTGGTGTCAAACTCACAACCTGATTTTAAACACCACAAAGACAAAAGAGATCATCGTGGACTTCAGGAGGCACAGATCTGAGCTGCGCCCCCTCAGCATAAATGGTGACTGGGTAGAGAGGGTCCACAGCTTCAAGCTCCTGGGCACCATCATCTCAGCTGACCTCTCGTGGACTGAGAACACCAGAGCTGTCATCAAAAAGGCCCAGTAGCGTCTGTACTTCCTGAGAGTGCTCAGGAAGAACAATGTTGGAGAGGAGCTGCTGAGAACCTTTTACACATCCACCATCCAGAACGTCCTGATGCACTGCAACACAGTGTGGTTCTCCCACTGCAATGAGGCGGAGCGGCAGGGGCCCCAGAGGGTGGTGAGGACAGCAGAGAGGATCATCGGCTGTCCCCTCCCCTCCCTGAGGGACATCCACACCTCCCGCTGCCTGAGTAGAGCTCAGGCAATCATCACAGACTGCACCCACCCTGCCTTTCACCTGTTTGACCTGCTGCCCTCGGGCAGACGCTACCGGTCAATCAAAACAAGAACAAACAGACTCAGGAACAGCTTCTTCCCTCACACAGTCACTACATTGGACACACATATACACCTCATCCCCTCTCTGCTCTCCAAACCACACACACACACACACACACACACACACACACACACACACACACCCCCCCCCCCCCCCCCCCCCAAACAGTCGGACTGCTTAAACCCCCCCCACACACACACTCACACACACGCACGCACACACCACACCGCTGGACTGCTGCTACATGACGACATGTGATTTGCACTACATATGATTTGCACTACCTTTACACTGTACTGTGACGCTGCACTGTTGCACACTTTGTACATAGTATCCTATTTTTATTCTATTTTTTATTTTGTACTATTTTATTTCATATTTTATTCTATTTTTTATGACTTCACATAGGAAAACCCCACTCCAAGCTGTTTTTAATTTCGTTGTATGCCTCATACAATGACAAGAAAAAGTCTGAGTCTGAGTCTGAGTCTACACATCTGTACATACACCTGAACACACCTGTTCACCTGTCTTCACACCTGTACACACACCTGTGCACACCTGTACACAGCTGTAAACACACCTGTACACCTGTTTGTTAGTTTTTCTCGCTCCATGTTTGGTTTGTGTTTCCTGTTTGAAAAATATTGTCACAGACTTGTATGTGTGCGTTGATGTGTTGCTGCGCTCTGATTGGTCAGGAGTGTGAGGACCCCTGCTGTAACGCCTCCACCTGTCAGCTGGTTCCTGGTGCTCAGTGCTCGTCTGACGGGATCTGCTGTCAGGACTGTAAGGTCAGTCCGCCCCACTGATCCAAAAACTCTTTGCCGTTTAAATCAAATAAACGCATTCTGATCTGATTTTAACCCCCCGCCCCCCACCCAGCTGAGGACAGCGGGCTCTGTGTGTCGTGACCCCCTTGGAGAGTGTGACCTCCCTGAATTCTGCACAGGCTCCTCCCCTTACTGCCCCCCCAACGTCTTCCTGCAGAACGGCGAACCCTGTGAGAACGGCGCCTCCTACTGCTACGGGGGGGTCTGCTCCAGCATGAAGACCCAGTGCCAGCTGCTGTGGGGACCCAGTAAGACACCAGTTCAGACCAGTTTAAACCAGTTCAAACCAGTTCAGACCAGTTCAAACCAGTTCAGACTAGAAACATCATTCGTCTTCTTCTTTTTTTGGTTCACTGTTTTATTTTTTAATTCCAGTTTTTCTTGAACTTTTCTCGGTTCACAGTAAACTTTGTATTTTTCTCCATCAGGAACAGGTCGTTATAAAGAGATAACTGTGACAGACTTAAAACATTTTTATCTCTAAAAGGGCAGAAAATATAAAAAAGTGAGTCCACAATATTACTAACATAACATGTATTTTATCTGTACTCACACTCACATCAAATAGACATGTCACTGGGGTACACAGCGCCAGCAAATCCCCCCCCCCCCCCGTCGTCATCACTTCATCTACTAAGAGAAACATTTATATTCTGTGTAATTAATTTATAAAGTTTGTCCACAGCTCCATAAGGAGGCGGGATTTATGACCTATACGGCAGCCCGTCACCAGAGGGTGCTGTTCTCAGAGTGGCTTCACCCAGAGAGGAGGCAGACGGCGTCCATTCTAGATACAGTCTATGGTCCCGACATGCTGTTGTTGTGCCGACCAAGATTACAGAAAATTTAGATTTAGTAATATTAGGTAATTGAGATTTATCCCCCAGTAAACAGAGTTCTGGGCTTGAAGAAATTTCTGCTTTGAGCTTGTTATTGAGGTCTGATTAACACACAGACAGTGGAGAAGGTTCCAGTTACCTGATTACATTTCCAGTCATTTCATCCTGTACAGTCTAGAGGGTGTGTAGTAGTGTCACAGAGCGCTATATGTTCTGATTGGTCAACATCACCATCATCATTATCAGGAGACTCTGACAGGAGGTCCACCATGATCCATGAGAGTCGACATGGGATTAGATGACAAGTTCTCTCCTCTGTCTCTCTCTCTCTGTATCTCCCTCTCTTTTTCTCTCTCTCACTCTCTCTCTCTTTCTCTCTGTCTCTCTGTCTCTCTCTCTCTCTCCCTCTCTGTCTCTCTGTCTCTCTCTCTCTCTCTCTCTCTCTCTCTCTCTCTCTCTCTCTCTCTGCAGATGCCACCAGCGCTCCTCCTGTCTGTTTCTCCTCCGTCAACAAACAAGGAAACAAATTTGGAAACTGTGGTCAGCTGGCGAACGGATCCTACATCCCCTGTGGAAACTTGTAAGTAAACAAAGGTCACAGGTTGATCAAATATTTTTAGTAGTAAATCCAAATAATTCCATCAGAAAGACCATTCCAAAAAATTTTGGCACAAGAATTAGAAGAACAGATCTGTCTGTTTATTATTACATTTTTAATCTTTGATAGTGATGCTGTTCAGCAGGATATCAGTCTTCAACATTGGTTGTTTGTTAAATAAATTGCTGCCTTGTAATAGTTTTAAGAAACAAGCTTATATTGCATCAAATACAATATTCTTGTGTAGGTATTGGAATACTGAAGGTCTTTAAAAATTCTGTGTATGAAAACAATTGACCACTCTCGTTGAGCAATTTCATTTGCTGGTTTCTAAAGGTTAAGGAACATCTGTGGATGAGTCACCGCCATGTTGGCATCATGTGACCACACAGTCACAGAGCCTGAAGCAAATCCAGGTCAATCATCAGACCCAGTTTGTGTTTTTGTGATCTGAGGTCCAAATGGATCCATGTAGACAGCAGCAGAGTTCAGAGACTCAGATCAGGGGGTCCTAGACCCTCTTTAGACCTTTATGAAGAGTCAAAGTCCACCTCTGATGGTCTCACTAGAACCGGTCTAACGGACCCAGAAGTCTTTAAGTGGGTGAGGACTAGGGATGTAACGATATGAAAATTACACATCACGATTATTGTGACCAAAATTATCACGGTTATCAGTATTATCATGGTATTGTTGAAATATGTTCAAAATGTTTAAAAAATACTTATACACGCCCTGAAATCATTATACAAAGTTCTATTTTGGAAAAACAATCAAAATAACATGCAGAATGAACTTTTCCTTAACCTTTAATAACAGAGGAATGATAAGCTTAAAAAATTAAAATGGGGCCTTAAAAGAGCCAGAGGTAATCAACACTAGTACTAGTAATAAAGTACAAAGAAATGTGCCAGTGGCATAAACATTAACATAATAACAAATGAATCAAATTTAAATAAAATGACATTCCTTATTGTGCAAATTGTAAGAATCTTCAGTGCTCAAAATAATCTCTTTATAACAGAGCAACACTACTGTATGAAACAATACAACCACATGTAAACAAAGGTGCAGTGCCTTTAACTCGCTGTACAGTTTTGGGTGGTTATAACGTAGATGGGACATCATGTTGGAAGTGTTTCCACCCTTCACAGAGATTTTTTGGGGCATTTTCTGCAAACTAGTCGGCCGCCCTCAATCAGTGTCTCTTCTGCGTCTTTGTAGAAGCAGAAATACACCCAGACTTTGGACTTTGTTGTCTTTGATGACGGAAAAATTTCTGCAATACAGCCGGCAGAACGTTCTTTAAAGTTCTTTACTGCGCGCCTGTGTCCGAAGGACTGCTGCCTGCTGCGATTCTTTTCAACACTGAGCAGTATCACTTTGAGCTTTTCCAGAGTGCAACAATCAAACACGGTTTTCACGGTAATTAAAATTTGAAACAGTAGTACTAACCATCAGACACTTTACCGTGGTTTATCATTTTAGCGGTAATCATTACATCCCACAGCAAAGACACGTCACTCTGAAAGTGTCTTAGCTCACTGTGTTGGCACCGCAGGGTGTCGGGGTCAAACAGACAAAGGAGATAAGAAAAAAGACTTTAAATAAACTCGTGAAAAAAGAAAGACGAGGAATGATCGGAGGGAAAGCTGCAAACAGGTTCAGGAGAGTCCTCCATCTGAGGGTCAGTCCAAGTTCTGCTTCTGGATTCCTTGGTCCAGTATCTTCACGCTGTTTGTTTCTTTGCAGAGACGTTCACTGCGGCAGGATCCAGTGTCAGGGTGGGAGGCGGCGCCCCCTGCTGGGCACCAACGCAGAGATCCTTACCACCAAAGTCAAGTTCAACCACAGTGACCTAGTTTGCAGAGGAACCTTCTTCCACCTGGGAGACGACGTGTCCGACCCCGCCACAGTGGCTCAGGGTACCGCCTGTGGACCTGGCAAGGTCAGCCAGCGCCCCCTGCAGGCTGGAGGCAGGAAGAGGGTTCAGTCAGGACCGCCAGAGTCAGAGAGAGAACTGTTAACGTAGTCAAATCAACCTTAACCCCAAAGACACTGGTAGAAACAAAAAGCATAGGAGCTGGAGGAGTGGAGACCTTTCTAATGTTTCCCTTCAATGACAGCTGGATGGTAGAAGGAACCTGTAGCTGGTCTGAGCTGGTGTTAGAATCAGCTCCTGGCCTGCCTGAACTAACTCTCTGATTTTGATTTGATGATAAAAAATTAGAGATGGAGAACTGAACAGGTTTTGATAAAACACTTAAGATCAAGTAATAACTCTGTGTGTGTGTGTGTGTGTGTGTGTGTGTGTGTGTGTGTGTGTGTGTGTGTGTGTGTGTGTGTGTGTGTGTGTGTGTGTTTCAGGCCTGTTTGAACCAGAGGTGTCAGGGTGTGTCGGTGTTTGGCGTGGATAAATGTCGCAGAAAGTGTAACGGACATGGGGTGAGTGGATGACACTAGTGGTGGGGGATATATTGAATATACTTGATATATCTCGGGTTTTTTCACGTGAGATGTATAAAATGACCACATCGCCTCCATCGAGTACAAATTGACACGTAGGCTTTATGTTTTAAGGCGTCAGTATGCAACTATCTCTGGAGTTTCGATCCTCTCACTCTCCCGCCGATCCTCTTATAGTAAGCAGCACTCTCCCCCTCCCAGCCGGGAAACTCTCCTGCGCGCATGCGTGTTGTTGTTAAAGGAAAGGAGGGAGACGAGCACGGAGAGAGCGAAAAAAGTTGAGACCCAAGACAAGTTTACGAGTTACTACGAGGAGGGAGGGATGGAGATTGACGACTTGGTGCCGAAAAGGCACAGCATTGGCTCTATCTTCTGGCAGTGGTTCGGGTTTCGCCAGGAAGACGTGGAGCAAAATACGGTTATCTGCAAAGCGTGACGCAAAATTGTAGCCACCAAAGGGAGCAGTATCACAAACCTATTTCACCACCTGAAATGCCAGCCACTACAAAACGAAGAATGCATCAGACCCCGTATGTCCACGTCTCCTCCTACACCACATAAACCGTCACAGAAAACAGCACCGGAGCAAATGTTGTCAAAAACATAAACAAACCTTAAATACAACCATGTTTCCACCCCTTTCATGTGACTGATATTGTTCAGAGAGGTTTTCAAAGATATCATCCGGACATCTTCCTCTGTGGTCTGCACTTTTTACTTTCTACTTTACCTTTTTAAAATGACCAGTTTTACAAACATGTTCAAGCAGAGAAAGTGCACTTTAATTTAGATTGTTTTGAAAGGTCTTTCTCAGATATTATAGTTTAATGCACTTTTTTTTAAGCGACCAGAGTAGACGAGCCTACCATGCTACTATTTTTTTTTATTTAAAACTGTGCAGCAGTTCAGTTTGAATTAAAAGGTTCACTGAACTCAACTTGATTGTGATTTTCCCTGTTTGCATGCAAATTCCAATCCAACAGAATAGTCTGCTGAAGTCATACTGGTGTTATTTTATGCATCAAAGGGTTAAAATTTAATATTTATAGAGTGATTTAGAGGAGATGTCAGAAACTCGGGATATTTATCGTGTATCGCAATATAGCCTAACAATATTCAGATATAGTTTTTTGGCCATATAGTGCAGCCCTATAAATATATATTAATATTAATATTATATTTATATGTATTTACCTGTTTTTATAAA